TGGTCCACTTCCTCCATCTTAATTCTGCTGAAGAGTCATCAGAATCGAGATAGAGAGAGAGGTGGGGTGATAAAGAGATAGAGACAGAATGTTAGTGTGCCTTTGCACATGTGTGCGTGTGTGTGTTAAAGAGGAAATGTCATGAATTACATTTTTACTATTTAAGTAGAAGTCCTTATAGTTGACTGATAAAGAAAAATCGTTAGTCTGGGCACAACAAGAAAGGGTACAAACTACTGGGGACTTTTAACCTGTCTATGTTTTTTTACAAGTATTTAGCTCAAATTCAAATCACATACATCTTTGCTCTGTTTACTGATGGCATTTTCAACTGTGCTACTGGGGCAAATGGACAAATACTTCAGGTTAGGAGGGATGGGCAGGGAGAGTTGCCTTATGGAGCAAAACTACTTTAAAAAAAATAAACTAAGGATACTCATTCTTAAAAAGGGAAGTATAAAAGATTAATTAAAAAAACACAACCATCATAACTTACAGTAACTTAACATTGTGACTTTTGTGCTGGTACTGCTTGTTCAATTATTTATTGGGGAGACAGGGATACATAGTAAACATAGAAACATAGAATGCGATGGCAGGTAAGAACCATTCAGCCCATCTAGTCTGCCCAATCTGTAGTGAGATACTTGTTAACAGTCTGGTTCTGTGTCCTCTGGCTACGATGATGAATTCTTGTGTTTCAAATGGAATGTCTAAGTGCTATATGTGCCTACTTATTATCGGTCTTATTTTCAGTCTGGCTGATTTTTCTATGGCTCTAAATGCTTGAAATTGTGCTGCAGTACAGAAACCAGCACAATGGAATTTAATGGAAGAGGTGGACCAGAGGAGAATTAGTTTGTTACATTTATTTTTTTATTTCAAACAATACACAATTAACATTAAAAAATGTTGTTTACAAAATCAAGAGTAGTGCACAGTGAAAAAATGTGTTTCAGCTGAACCATTTTATTCTGTAAAATGTTATGGATGGATGAATTTTGGCCATATGGTGGTTCAGCTCAGCATAATATTGGTAACAAAAAAACTATTCACAAAACAAATCAGAGGAACCTAAGGGCCAAAAATGACCCAATCAGTGTAGTGCAAAATAAATACATAATATACATTTTTATAGAACATTTCTTATGGAGCTCAACGAAACATCTAATTGCTATGCAGAATTACACAGCCAATACTCTGTTTATTGAATGCTCACATTTATGTGTCTGTTCATTTTGTTACTCCATACCATTGTATTAGTGTTAGAATTACTACACTATCATTTTTCGTCCTGTGCTATTTTAACACATTGAGTACCATTATCCATAGCGTGGTTTGTACAGCCAGATGCTGGTTTCACTAAAACATAGAAACATAGAAACATAGAATATGACGGCAGATAAGAACCATTCGGCCCATCTAGTCTGCCCAATTTTCTAAATACTTTCATTAGTCCCTAGCCTTATCTTATAGTTAGGATAGCCTTATGCCTATCCCACGCATGCTTAAACTCCTTTACTGTGTTAACCTCTACCACTTCAGCTGGAAGGCTATTCCATGCATCCACTACCCTCTCAGTAAAGTAATACTTCCTGATATTATTTTTAAACCTTTGTCCCTCTAATTTAAGACTATGTCCTTTTGTTGTGGTAGTTTTTCTTCTTTTAAATATAGTCTCCTCCTTTACTGTGTTGATTCCCTTTATATATTTAAATGTTTCTATCATATCCCCCCTGTCTCGTCTTTCCTCCAAGCTATACATGTTAAGATCCTTTAACCTTTCCTGGTAAGTTTTATCCCGCAATCCATGAACCAGTTTAGTAGCCCTTCTCTGAACCCTCTCTAAGTTATCAATATCCTTCTGAAGATACGGTCTCCAGTACTGTGTACAATACTCCAAGTGAGGTCTCACCAGTGTTCTGTACAATGGCATGAGCACTTCCCTCTTTCTACTGCTAATACCTCTCCCTATACAACCAAGCATTCTGCTAGCATTTCCTGCTGCTCTATTACATTGTCTGCCTACCTTTAAGTCATCAGAAATAATCACCCCTAAATCCCTTTCCTCATATGTTGAGGTTAGGACTCTATCAAATATTCTGTACTCTGCCCTTGGGTTTTTACGTCCAAGATGCATTATCTTGCACTTATCCACATTAAATGTCAGTTGCCACAATTCTGACCATTTTTCTAGTTTACCTAAATCATTTGCCATTTGGCTTATCCCTCCTGGAACATCAACCCTGTTACATATCTTAGTATCATCAGCAAAAAGACATGCCTTACCATCAAGACCTTCTGCAATATCACTAATAAAAATATTAAAGAGAATGGGTCCAAGTACAGATCCCTGAGGTACCCCACTGGTGACAAGTCCAAGCTTCGAATATATTCCATTAACTACAACCCTCTGTTGCCTGTCACTCAGCCACTGCCTTACCCATTCAACAATATTGGAATCCAAACTTAAAGATTGCAGTTTATTGATAAGCCTTCTATGTGCAACAGTGTCAAAAGCCTTACTGAAATCTAGGTAAGCAATGTCTACTGCACCACCCTGATCTATAATTTTAGTTACCCAATCAAAAAAATCAATAAGATTAGTTTGGCATGATCTCCCTGAAGTAAACCCATGTTGTCTCTGATCTTGAAATCCATGTGTTTTTAGATGTTCATCAATCCTATCCTTTAACATGGTTTCCATCACTTTCCCCACTACTGAAGTAAGGCTTACTGGCCTATAGTTGCCCGACTCCTCCCTATTACCTTTCTTGTAAATGGGCACAACATTCGCTAACTTCCAATCTTCTGGGACTACTCCTGTTAACAATGATTGGTTAAATAAATCTGTAAATGGTTTTGCTAGTACACCACTAAGCTCTTTTAATAGCTTTGGGTGTATTCCATCAGGTCCCATTGACTTATTTGTCTTTACTTTTGACAGTTAAAACATGTATGAAGCTCTTTTTATCTCTATTTATATAGACACACTGCACTATTGCATTTTTTTCCTTTTTATATGGCACATCTGAGGAATATTGGAAACTAAAAAACAAGACACAGATAAAGATATATATATATATATATATATGTATGTAAAAAACAGATACAATTTTTATCTTGTAATACCTTTTTTATTGGACTAACAGAATTTTTTAATGACAAGCTTTCGGGAGAACCTCCCTTTCTCAAGTCTGAAGCATTTCTGAGCAAGACGACACATAGAATTCAAAGTTGATATATATATATTTATTTTTTAAAGTAAAGAAATGTTATCTTCAAATGGCCAGTCTAAGTACTGTAAGCACTACATTTAATTTTATTAGTCATGTTCAATGCATTTTTGGAATGCAGGTTGATAAAAAAAAAAAATCTCTGTATTCAGATATAGATATGGAGGTAGGGAAAGAGAGAAGAGGACACAAAAGATGAAGAGTTAAGGTAGAGTAACAGTAGCAATGGGGGAGAGAACCAAAAGTGGTATAAAGATTAGAGAGACACATAGGTGGTGGAAGATTAAGGAATATAGCAAATATAGAAGATACGAAGATGGGAGAAATATACGAAGATTGGTATAAATGTGTAGACCAGGAAGGGTAAAAAAAGTTTTCAGAATCATATATGCTTAAAATATAATATACACCTGCCTTTTTTTATTTGTATTATTTTCATTTGTTTAGTATACAACACCCTAATTGCTATCCTTATTAAAACAAATGCATAAGAAATGAGTGGATTTCAATCATTACTGTTTGTTTCTGTTTTATTTTTATTTTCCATTGATTCTGAAATTTGGATGCCTCCAAATTGCCAAATCAGTCGAATTTGGATGACATTTATTTTGAAAAGAAACAAATTGCAGGTGTCATTTTATATATCCTCTTTTGAGTTAATGATGCACTATATTTGGTTATTTCACTTAACATGTTATAACTATTTTATTAATTATGCTTGAGGAAATTAACTGCACATGAGGATTTATTGCAGAGAGACCTTTGGCCTTTTCTGCTGCAGTTCTAAAAGTTACAAAGTTGACCACTATAAATCAGGGACTGCATTTTATACAAAATCACTGATTACTGATATATTTAATGAGACCTAGGCTCACACGACATGTGCTATTGATTTAGCTTTCATCTGCCTCTGTGGATTTACAGTGATAAGGACAAATTGGTTTAATGCCATCGGAAAACTGGACATGTGTGGGTATATTGCTGAATTTCCCTTGATGCTATTGTTGGTTTACAATGTTAAATCTGAAACTTCGTTTTGCTGTGTTGCATTTTTTTCTGAAGCAGAGATTCTAATGTTGCCTGGCTTATTCATATCTAATTCTGGACAAGCAGATGATAGTTGACTAAGTGGATCAAGTTCCTTAATTTACCCATATGTGCTAATGGATTATCATTTAATCATGCTGTTTTTGCTCTTATTGAGGAATAGAAATGCCTACATAAAGGCTGATATCATGTCATTTGCAGTGACTTTAACATTCAGGATTCAGATTAATAGCCATATTCTTGAGGTCACAGAGCATAAAGCTCCTGACTGAATATTCATCCTCTGAGACTTAAATCACTTTTTAAAATGTACTTGGAGAGGCTTATTTACTAAATTGTGAAATGTGTTGAATTGAACACTGGTTTGTAAAATGTATACCAAAATAGCTGATTTGGAAAAATGCTTGGCTATAATTTGTTTTTCAGTAAACTATTATTGACTGTTTTGTTAAAAATGTATAATGATTTTAGATCATAAAATATCATAACAGGAAACATTAGGATCAAATAGATTATTTCAGTTGATGTA